AGACAGAGCATGAGTTGGGGAGGGGCAGAGAGAGAGGGAGACAGAGAATCCCAAGCAAGCTCCACTGTCAGCATGGGCCCGACACGGGGCTCCAACCCACAAAGCCATGAGATCATGACCTGAGCTGAAAGCAAGAGTCGGATGCTTAATGGACTGAGCCACCCAGGCGCCCCTAAGTTTATTTATTTATTTTCAGAGAGAGTGAGGAAGGGACAGAGAGAATCCCAAGCAGGCTCCGCACTGTCAGTGCAGAGCCAGATGTGGGGTTCGAACTCACAAACCATGAGATCATGACCTGAGCCGAAATCAAGAGTCAGACACTTAATTGACTGATCCACCCGGGCCCCCCTACAGTGGATTTACCACGAACTAAGTACGGTCTGCCTTTAATTTCCAAACATTATCCAACCTGTAAAATGTGTGGGATCTTTGCTTCTCTCCTTTCCTTAATGTTGAGGCAGCTGATCATGGTGTGAGAGAAACTTGGTTAATGTTTCCTTCTCACAACAAGTGTCCTGAGCCTCCCGTGTGTATCGGGAGCTGCGGTATGAAAAGTAACGATACGGTGAAGGAGAGAAGACCGACACCAGAATATCGAAACTTTAAGACGTGTATATGATGCCATGTGAAAATACTCAGTACGAGCAACAGCTACCAGGACCTTCCAGTGTGTGTGTCCTGTCCAGCAACATAGCCCGAATTTTTTTGCCATTGGGCACTTTACCTTGAGTATTTTTTATCATCTCTTACTTTTCTAATAGATTCCCAGGTACTTCCTCTGCCTCCAGACTTTGTATCAAAGTGGAGCTTTGTAAAGTCTGCTATAGAGTTCAATTTACTTTAGAAGTATTTTAAGAGCTTTTCTATAAATGTAACTCTATTATTTTTTAACCAGAAGTTCTGAAATGAATTTCTTGCTTGAAGTATTTCTCTTCCTAATTCATAAGCTCTTTTAGGATAAAGATGTGGAGTCTCTTTAGGATTTTTACTCTCTGATTCAAAAATACTCCTTGATCCCAGGCACAGCTCCCATAACAGTACCTGTCCCTGGCGCAGACTTGCAGAGCACGGTGGCCCCGTAAATACTGCTGCAAGAATGAGGAACAGACATGTGTCCGGTTTCTGGCTCTCCCACTGCTCACTTCCCAGGGCTCACCTTGTGACTTTGGCCAAGTTACTTAACCTCTCAGGGCCAACCAGAAATAGTACCTGGCCTGGAGCAAGTGCTCCACTGATGCTAACCCCTTTTCTGTATATCGGTCAAAATCAGGGTAAAGAACCACCCCAAGGTGGATTTAAGAGTTCATCTCAAGACTCCGAGCCACGTTCTCCTTCTGTGGTCCCTGTTACAACTAAACAAGGATATATGATACTTCTGGGGCACCTGGGTGACTCAGTCGGTTGAGCATCTGACTTTGGCTCAGGTCACCATCTTATGGTTAGTGAGTTTGAGCCCTGCATCCCCCCTCCGCTGCCTCTCTCTCTCTGCCCCACCCCTGCTCATTCTCTCTCTCAAAATAAATAAAAACTTAAAAAAAAAAAAAAGAATATATGATCCTTTATAGTGATGGATTGTCAGTGCATAAAGATAATCTTGTTTTTATTAAAGAGTGCTTGTTCACTGGTCTCATTCTTAGGTAGTATTTCTTTCATTGTACAGCTGCTTATAGGAAGTATTCCCTTGAATTCCCAGATCTCTCAACAAAACAAAACAAATGAAACCTTTAGTGTCCTGGAGATGTATCTCTATCTGACTGCAGTTATTTTCCTGAATTAAACTGATGTGTTAATCTGGGGACCAAAATAATGAAAAAGAGGACTAGGAAGGAACATCCGGGTGCTTGGACCACAAGAAAACATTTATTTCACCTTGCGAGTGTTGCTATCGAGACTGATCTAAGAAACCCCTGCCTACCTTGGTCTGTCCTTTAAGGAAGCATCTCCACGGTGCCACATTCAGAGCGGAAGTTCCTTTTGTGAAGCATCGTGGTCGCTGTGTGCCTGGAAAGGGTTAATTCTCCATGTTCTGACTGCCGTTATTGTCTTGTATGGTAGATCCTTGAGCAAATTCAGAGTTGCCAAGGCCCAGGTTAGGGAAGTCAGGATAACTTGTTTTGGCATCTCTGGGTTAAGTAAGAGAGTTTCCGGTCTTCACAAGAACCCAGAGATGGGATCTGAAGGTCTGGCCAGTTTAACGCCTTTCTCCAAAGCGCTGGACCATTTTACATCCCACCAGCGTTTGGCAACGTAAGTCGTCTTACTTTTAACTGATCTGTTGGGTGTGTATGGTATCTTGTGGTTTTTAATTTGCCTTCCCCTAATGACTAACGATGCTGCGTGCTTTTTGGCCATTCTTTATATCTTTCTTTGTTAAGCGTTAACGTCTTTTGCCTGTTTTTAAATTAGGTTGATTGCTTTTTTATCACTAGGTTGTAGGAGTTGTTTATATTTATGGATACTCTTTTTTTTTTTTTTTTTTTTTTTTTTTAATCTAAATGGTACACACTACTCACATGGCTCCATTTCTTTTTCTTTTTCTTTTTCTTTTTTAATGTTTATTTTTGAGAGAGAGAGAGAGCGAGAGAGAGAGAATCCAAAGCAGGCTCTGCATGCAGGGCTCCATCCCATGAACCGTGAGATCATGACCTGAGCCAAAGTCAGATGCTTAAGTGACTGAACCCCCCCTGGCGAACCCCACCTATTTATTTTCTTACTGGTGACTTTAATGAGCAGAAATTTTTAATACTAATAATGTCCAGTTTATCCACTTGTCCTTTATAATCGTCCTTTTCTGTGTCCGGTCTAAGAAATCTTTGACTAACCCTAAGGTTACGAAGATATTCTCCTATGGTTTTTTCCTAGAAGCTTTGTGGTTTTAGCCCTTACATTGAGGTTTGTGGTCCATTTAAAATTACTTTCTATGTACAATGTGAGGATATCCAGTGTCAGCACCATTTATTGAAAAGATTTCTTGTTCTCCATTGAGTTGTTTGGATATGTGTGGAAATCCAATTGTTCATATAAGGGCGGGACTGTTTCTGGATTTTCTATTCCGTTCCATTGATCTATTTATCCTCATGCCCATACTGCCTTGATTACTATTACTTTATAAGAAGTCTTGAAATCAGGCCATGTAAGTCTTCCAACTTTGTTCTTTTTCAACATTGTGTTTCTTTCCCCTCAAAGACCCTAAGCTCTAGCTCCTGTTCCCCAAGCAGCCATCCGGGCAGAAGGCCAAGGCCTCCAGATTTGGGCAGAAGTCCTTAGTGAAAAAGCCAGATTTGGCACTCACCCATTCCACGAATTTCCTTCTTCCACCGTCCAGGCTTCTGCAGATTCTTTAATCACATAACATTCCATGTTGTGTTTAAAGATACGTCTTAGAAATGTTATCCGGGATTCAGACTGTTTTCGTGTAAGAGACTGGCTCAGCGTGGATAACATGCCACGCTGCCATGAACAGAAGTTGCTTATAGCTAATTTTTACTTTCTCATTTCCCTTTAAAGATACGGATCTTTAAACTTGTCTGCAACGGCGTGTGTTAATTGTATTATCCAAAAGAGACAGTGACGATGGTTATAAAAATCAGTAACTGTTTGACTCTGTTGGATCAGACCACCGGAAGCCCCCAGCAATCCCGGGCCGAATCCAAACAGTAGTCCAGAGTTGTTGTTCCCCAGATACTCATCTGCCAGTGCAGGCGCGGCCCCCAAACATGTTGACATTCACAAGCATTCATGCTGAATGAACATCGCCAAAGGCAAGCCCTTGGCTTTGGCGGCATAATTTGTGATTTGTCGCTCCTTTTGCAGGAATGGTCTGCCGGAAACCTGCGGACCCTGTGGACTGGCCGCCGCTCGTCCTGGGATTGCTCACCCTGCTGAAGCAGTTTCATTCCCGGTACACTGAGCAGTTCCTGGCGCTGATCGGCCAGTTTATCCGCTCCACAGTGGAGCAGTGCACAAGGTACCGAAAGCCGGTCTGGAAAGAACAGAATCAATGTTACAGAATGGGCTATAAACCTTGCGTGCGAAGTTCCTCCTGTTGTCTCCCTCGTAGAGATGGGACTTGCTGTCACCCTGCTGTGTAAAGCAAGTCAGGACCCACCTTGTTCGTAGCAACTAAACACAACCCATCCGTAGTCACCCTGCTGGGGGAGCCCCCTCGGTGCACTCCACAGTGATTTTACAAGGACGAGTCATGACCAGGATTCGCGACCCCCGCGGGGAAGAGAGTGCAGGCCTGTTCCTCTGCTGTCCTGGGTGCTGTGCTCACAGCTCAGGGAGCCCGGCCCTCTGGCCAGGCCCCTGGCATAGGATGGCCCCACAGCCTTCGGCGGGAGTCAGGGAGCACGTCCGTGTCAGCCTGGGCACGGCCTGGGTTCCTGGTGTATGAGGAAACAGAAGTCACATCAAAGCTCCTATGGGATACAAGGCTCGTAAACCCTTTCTTCTTCCCGCCCCCCGAAAATGTGGCTTCTCTGGGATAGAAAAAAAACAGTTATTTGCAGGAGATGCTGGGTCCTGAGCCTCCTCTGTTACCCTGAAGGGTCAGGCCAGCTGACTAAATTTCTCTGGCATGTTGCACATCCAACGTCTGGAAGAGCACCGCCTGGTCACTTGGGTCAGTGTAACTTAAAGACTAACGGGAATGACCTTACAGGTCCTCACAGTGCACCCCTGACTGGACATGATTTCGGAGGCCGTTTAGTTTACCTCAGCCAGGATGTGAATCAGCGCTCAGATGCCCCTGGCAGGAACCATCCAGATCTGCTCGGACACCCCCCCCGGGTGAGGTACTCATCACCTCCCAAGGCCACACAGCCCTGGTCACTAGAAAGTGGCTGACTGTGATGAATGGAAAATTCCATCCTGTCTCTCTGAGATTTTGCTCTCTGGGCCTCCCTCCACGCTCTGAAATTAGAAGAAATGCAGTCTCCTTCCTTTGTGAATGTCAGCGGTTGCCTTAGGTCTTTTTCTTTAGATAAGCTGACTTCCACCTGTTCCTGTGCACCACGCCGTGGCCACTCACCGCATCCGTGACCTCTTCTGGGGGTTCCAGTTGGTAATCCCACCACTTAATATGTGGTTTCCCAAACCCACACCGGGATTCCAAAAACAGCTGACCCCTTAAAGCGGAGGGGTCATAAGCTCCTTCATTCCGGGTCCCGTGTGGAGTGCAGTGCGGCTAGAATTGCAGGACCGGGTTCTTGACCTCTTGCAACCTTCTCAACCCCTGACCTCTTTTCTCCGAGAGCATCAGTCAGGCTAATTCTGCCCCATCTTAGTTAGCGGACCCAACGACAGACGGACGCTGGGTGTCTTTCTAGGACGTATGCGGAGACTTGCTTCCAATAGCCGACTTTTTAACAATTAAAAAACAGAAGGTAGCTCAGAAGGATGGGGAAGTCTCGGAAATGGAATTGCAGCAATTGCAAAACGAGGTCGGTTGCAAAGGGCAGCAGTGAGCACCCAAAAACCTAGTGCATCTGGCTCCGGACCGTGAAGAGGAAGCCAGGGCTGCAGTCAGCTTGGTCCAAGGCGATTGGGAAGTGACCTCCACACGGGCCACCCCAACCCCAGTCCCCCATCTGTCAGGAGCTGGCAAATCCTTCCTGATTCTTCCTCACCAGTGACTACAAAGCGTGGCTGTAGCACAGCCTGTTACCGGTGACCCTGACAGAGGTCACCAGGAGACGGGCATCAGGCCGCGGCTCGGTTTCCGGTTTGTTCAAGTGCAGTGACATCAGGAGCGTGGGATGCACGGAGGCTCTCCCTTTCCCTCGCCGCCCTGGTCCTGCACTGAAAGATCGAGAGCAGCGGCAGCTTTTTTCCAGGCGTAACCACTCTTCAACCTGCTTTTCCAAAGCAAAACGTCATCAGGGAAACTAATCAGTAATCCAATTCCATGAAATCCTTCATTAATCAGAAAATGCCGTTCCGTACGTAAATTAGAAATGGTTTTAAGAGCTGAAGATTCCTTCCGCTGTAAAGAAAGGGTGTAGGCTCCGTGAGAAGCCTGTCACGTCCTCTGCTGCGTCCGCAGCTCTGGAAGGGTTTGGGCAGCGTGGCGGTTGTGTGAGTGAACGAGTAGGATCCGTATGGGAAGTTACTGGACGCTGTACTGGACCCCTTCGAATGTACAGTAGGGGGCAGGTGCCGTCCCAGATGCTGAGGAGAGAAGGCTAAAGGCAGGACCCAGGCCCTCGAGGAAACCAACATACAAACAACTGAAAACCTCCGAGACTTGGGGGAGAATACTAAGGATGCTCAAAGCATACGAAAAGGCCATCTGCCCAGAGGAGTGAGGGAGGCCTTTCGAAGGAGGAAGAACCTAAGCTAGAACTGGCAAGATGCCTAGAAATTTACTTGTAAAGTAGGCGTGCAGAGCAAATGGAGCCGCAGAGACCGGGGGCTGGGGAAGCACGGCCTGTTCAGGGACCTGCCAGTTCTTGAATCACGAAGTGCAGGGTGGTGAGCAGTGAGTCTAGACGGACAGCGGGGGCCGTGTGGTGGAGGCCCACGTAAGCCATTCAGCGCAGACTGCATCCTCTGGGTTATGTTCTGAGAATACAGCCACAGGATAATGATCTGAATCGAGAGGATGGTCTAGAGATTTTCTCCTTTGACTTTAGTGGTCTGTCGTTTCTCTAGTCTCAGTATTTTGACTGAGGGTCCACCACGTGCAAAGCGGTGCATTGATCCAGACTGTTCTCTGTTGCAGCCAGAAGATACCTGAAATGCCTGCGGACGTTGTGGGTGCCCTCCTGTTTCTGGAGGATTATGTTCGGTACACAAAGCTACCTAGGAGGGTAAGCAGTAGACAAAGGACAATATTAAAGCCCTTTTTGTAAAAAGGTGCCATTAAGAGCGGCCCTGGAGGGGCGCCCGGGTGGCTCAGTCGGTTAGGCGTCCAACTTCGGCTCAGGTCATGATCTCACAGTTCATGGGTTGGTGCCCCACGTTGGGCTCAGTGCTGACAGCCCAGAACCTGCTTCAGATTCTGTGTCTCCCTCTCTCCCTGCCCCTCCCCTGCTCATGCTCTGTCTCTCTCTCTCTCTCTCTCTCTCAAAAATAAAATACACATTAAAAAAAATTTTTTTAATTAAAAAAAAAGAGCGGCCCTGGACTCACCAGGGGTACAGTCCAGGAGCTCATCCCAGTGGATGCTCTGAGCCCCCCGGGCCCCCTTCTGCCCGCAGCTGTGAGCGCTCCTTTCACTGCGTTTGGTGCTTCACAAGCCCGACTCTCACCGCACCTACCCCCCTCCTCCCTCCCTACCGCGCCCCGCTCCCAAGCAGCTCACCCAGCCCTGCTTCTGGTTCCAGAGGAATGGATGGGCAGTCCAGGAGGGAATCCTGGAGGCAATAATTGTGTGGGTGGTTTTTCCCCCGCTTCCCACAGCAAGTTCAGTTCAGTTCACACCACAACTAACATCATATTTACCCAGGGTTTCCAAAAATGGCTTCATTTTTTTACTCCCCAAGATAGTCTCTCCTGTTCCTTTCTCACTAATGATTCCACTTTGGTAAGTTTCAGCTCAAAGTGCAGAGCTTCGTACTAAAATACAAAAGACTTTTGATAGATTCCGAAAAGCCATTCTGATTTTTTTTAATTAGCAGGTTACTTTTTCATAACAACAGCCAAAGACGATGTTTTAAAAATTAACTGGCGACATCTTCCGCTATAGTGATACGCTAGCGGCATCCCCCCTAAAGTCGGCGCCGTAACAGTGATCTAGCAGTACCGACTCTCACCGCGGCTTTGGCCGTACAGGTTCAAGGCAATAAACCAAGTGACAATTAAAAAATGCACAAAGGAAGACAAATTTGCATTGTTCACAGAGGATGTAATTGTCTTCCTTGAATACCCACTGGAATCATGTGGAAAACTGTTCGAATTTAAGACTACAGAAAAGCTGATTAGAGAATGTACAGGGTAAATGCACGAATAACTAACGCAAACACATGGTGTGAAAAAGATCCCATTCGCAGAATTAAGGAAATAGCGTAGCCAGGAGTAGTAACCTCTACAGGAGGGGCACCTGGGGGGCTCAGTCGGTTAAGCATCAACCTCTTCAGTTCAGCTCAGGTCATGATCTCGTGGTTCATAGGATCAAGCCCCACATTGGGCTCTGTGCTGACAGCGCGGAGCCTGCTTGGGATTGTCTCTCCATCTCTCTGCCCCTCTCCCACTCACCAGCTCACTGTCTCGCAAACTTTAAAAAAAAAAAAAAAAGCTAAAACGCTGCAAGAAACACGGTTTAGAAAAAATAAGTTATTTTTGATATTTTAATAACAGTTTAGAACAAAGTATAAAAATTCAGAGTCCATCATTCTGAATAAGGAAACTCAAATAGTAGTTTTTATTCGTTTATAGGTTTATTGCAGCTATGATCAAAATCCCAGATAATTTTTGTAACGTTGGGGGGGGGGATTTTTAAAAATTTTATAGAACTCAGACCAAAAGTAGATTGTTTTTAAAGAAGACATTTAAAACATACCAAATACTTAAAACTATTGTAAAACTACAAAGATCATAATAGTGTGGCAGTGGTATGAAACTCAGTAGATGAATCAATCGATCAGAATATGTAGCTTCCTTGGGGCACCTGGGCGGGTCAGTCAGTTAAGCACCCGACTTTGGCTCAGGTCATGACCTCACAGTTTGTGAGTTCGAGCCCCGTGTTGGGCTCTGTGCTGACAGCCCAGGGCCTGGAACCTGCTTGGGATTCTGTGTCTCCTTCTCTCTCTGCCCCTCCCCCACTCACAGTCTGTCTCTTTCTGTCTCAAAAATAAACATACATTTAAAAAAATTTTTTAAACAAAAAAAAGAATATGTAGCCTCCTTACATACAGTTGCATGTAAGGGAAAGTAGCATCATAAATTAGGGGAGTAAGGAAATATTTTAGTCAATAGTGCTAGCACAGTTAGTTCATTATGTGATAGTCAAAAAATAGCCACTTAGTGTCTTCACATCTTTCTTATATCCATACGGCTAGTATGGAAAATAGAACCAGCAAACACAAAAATTTTATACAACTATGAATGAGCTCTCAGAACTTTCTATATAAACACCAAAGGAAGCAATCATAAAGGAAAAGATTTAGAGATTTGATCTCATGAATGCTGAATGTAATGAAACAATTCTGTCAAGTGTCTCTTAATTTAAAAAAAAAAAATGGGGAAAATATGAACAGAGGATCAGTTTTCTTGATGCGTGGCATGTTCTTTTACATCAGTAAGAAAAAGATAACCAATCCAATAGGAGGGGGAAAAAAAGACAAGGGATATTAATAGGCAGTTTTCAGGAAAAGAAATACAAATGGCCAATAAATATTTGTAAAAATGTTCAACCTTAATTCAGGTGTCACACATCAAAATAACAGTAAAACTTAATTTCCACCCATCATATTGATAAAAAGTAAAATGTTGGGCCCCCGCTGCGTGGAAATCTTTAGAGAAATAGGATTTCTTAACTTCTCAGTACTGTTGATGGCAGTGTAAATTGTTTATTCTATGGGAGGGCCATTTGGCTTAATTCAAAAATAACTTGTAATATTCTCACCTGGTCCATGCAGTTTGACTGCTTGGAATGTATCTGCTGGGTATATGTGCAAAAGTTCACCAAGATGCGTGTGCAGGGATGTTCATTACAGAAGATTTAGCAGAGGCAGGGGCACCTGGGTGGCTCAGTTAGTTGAGCGTCCTCCTGACTCTTGATTTCAGCTCAGGTTCGTGATCTCACAGTTCGTGGGATCGAGCCCTACATCAGCGCAGAGCCTGCTTAGGGATTCTCTCTCCCACAAAATAAATGAATAAACAACAACAACAAAAGATTTAGCAGAGGCAAAGGACACAAGGTTATGTGATCCTAATTTTGAGTATGTGTTATGTGTAAATTGGAGGGATTTGTACAAAATAATTACCAGTTTTTCTCTTTAAGGGTTTAAGATTAAAGATTTATTTCCATTTTACGCTTCTCTGCATTTGCTAACTTTCCTCCGAGTAGCAGATGATCCCTTTATAATCAGGAAAAAAATTAAACGCTGCTTTTAAAAAATAACCAATTTTGGAGCACATGGGTGGGTGGCCCAGCCAGTTGAGCATCTGCGTCTCGATTTTGGTTCAGATCATGATGTCCTGGTTTGGGAGTTCAAGCCCCACGTTGGGCTTTGCGCTGACAGTGCAGACCCTGCTTGGGATTCTCTTCCTGTCTCGCTCTCTGCCCCTCTCCACCTCATGCTCTCTCAAAATAAACTTACAAAAAAAAAATTCTTTCTCTCTCCCTGTGCCCCTCTCCCCTGCTCATGCTCTTGCCGTCTATAAAAATAAAAAAATTTCCAGTTTCTAGCAGTTGGAGATCACCCAGCCCTACATCCCACCCATTCACCCTACCCACCCCTCCTCGGGCTTCTCCCAAGAACAGTTCAGGACTGCGTGCTGAGGCCCTTCCCCCCACCCCCCTGGCCCCGACCTGTCCCTTGGGACACGCTGTTCTTCCCAGGTGGGTCATAGATCAGTTGTGAGGTGACCTGAGATCACCTGTCAGCACTTCCCAGAGGCGTGCGCATTCCTAGCACCTCAAGTGCCTCGGGGAGCCGGGGAGCCTGAGAGCTGAGCCGAGCCGAGGAGCTCACACCTGGCGCGTTTGGAGGTGGGAGCACCGCGTTTGGAGGCGGGAGCACCGTAGGACGTTCCCTCAGATGCCAGCAGGGCCGAGGAGCTAGGCACCAGTGTGAGGAAGGACAGCAGCGCGAGGCAGGGTTTCAGGGAGTGCCCCTCCCCTGTGAGTCCACTTGCCTGAGACCCACCTTGCTGCCAAGGGTGTTTTTGTTTTCCTTGCATGTGGAAAATTCTGACCTTGTTCTGAATCAGAACACTAGGGAAAAAGTAACTCTTCTGTTTACTCTTTTTAGGTTGCTGAAGCACACGTGCCTAATTTCATCTTTGATGAATTCAGAACAGTCCTGTAACTTTTTTGACATCTGCATCTTCAGTCAAAGGCTTGTCCTTCAATCTTCCCATGACTAAAATGAATTTAGAAATGAAGAAACTCAGCTGCTCGTAGAACTGCATCGCTCCCCTTAACTGTGGGAAACGTCAGGTATTAAGATGTATCTCACGGCACTCGTTCATATAATTAATATTGTTTAAATCATGGTATTATATGCAATTTGTATCACGTAGGAGCAGAATACATTTTTGTACTGCCTCTTATAAATGCCGAATGTAATTGTTACATATAAATCCATTTAGTTTTATGTTCTAAAGAACTATTTGTGCAATTCGGGATTTTCAGTAAAATAGTAATTGCCAGTACCTGAAGGGGTCCTTCTGCCTATGATTCCGAAACTGTGTATTCATCGTTTAAAAAAACAACAAAAAAAACCTCTGGAAGGTAAGCGAGGAATCCGGTAGGTCCCATGGATACCCCCACAACAGGCTGGCAGGCACAGGTGATGGCCAGACCGGGACCAAACAGAGACCACACGCTCCACGGACTATGTACTGTGGAAGTTTCTTGGTGTCTGAGGTTCACTGTTCTCTTCCAGCCATAGAACCCTGGCGGGGGGTGGGGGAGGGGGCAGTTCCCAGCATGCCTTCTGGGTGTCTCTCCAACTTCAGCTGTTCCTTCCGTCCTTCCCCCCCATCTTCCCCAGCCACCTGAGCCCCACCCCAGCAGCCCAGCCTAGTCAAGGCCCGGCACAGAATTTTAAAAGTGAACGGTCACCCAGCGTGCCTGGGTGGCTCAGTCGGTTGAGCGTCCGACCTTGGCTCAGGTCATGATCTTGCCATTCTTGAGTTCGAGCCCCGTGTCAGGCTCTGTGCTGACAGCTCGGAGCCTGGAGCCTGCTTCAGATTCTGTCTCCCTCTCTCTCCGCCCCTTCCCCGCTCACAGTCTCTCTCTCTCTCAAACAAAAGAAACGTTAAAAAAAATTGTTTTTCCAGCAAATTGTTGCCCAATACATAAGGAGTTTGGAAGTGCCCCCCAGTGGGAGGCTGGCATGGCACATGAGAACTCAGTCCGTGGCCATCCAGCAGCATCTCAAAAATACCTTGCGGTTTTCCATCTGTAATCAGGTAACATTAACTGCATGAAGTGAGATCTTTAGTTCTCTGTGAAAATGGCCCCCAAAGAAAGCCAGCTGCTAAAAAGGCCAGACTAAGAGAGATTTAAACCAGAAAATGGAAGTGTGGAATACCCTAGAGGGACTTTGACAAAACCAAGTGAATGAGTCCACCACACGTGCTAAAATGAGGCAAATGAGGTATGCAAGCAACACCACCTGTGATGTGGCAAATGTCCTCGATGGAGAGAAAAAGTGAGAAAGAGAAATTTGTGTTATAAAAGCCTTTTTTAGGGGCACCTGGGGTGGTTCAGTCAGTTAAGCGTCTGACTTTGGCTCAGGTCATGATCTCACGGTTCGTGGGTTCGAGCCCCACATCGGGCTCTGTGCTGGCAGTGCAGAGCCTGCTTGGGATCCTCTGTGCCCCTCCCCTGCTCACCTCTCTAAACATTAAAAAAAAATTTAATAAAAGCTTTTTAAGTCCTTTTAGCCCTTATCATTATAATCTGAAGTAGTTACTTACTATTCCAAGTCATGTTTTACTGCTCTTTGAGGAGCAGTTTACTTTAGTGATATCTGGGGGTTTACTGAAATTCCATGACACCTTTCTGATGTCCATGATCTCCCCAAATATACTAAAACTCAGTAAATTCGGATTTTTCAGCATTCTGCCAGACATCACAAGTGCTTGTTTATTCATTCACCGTTTCTTCACATAATCCCAGCCTGGCTAATTCATGTTATACAGTGGAACTTCTAAAGCCCTTGATTGTTCTGTGTGAACGTGTTTTCACAGAACCCAGAAGAGAACCTTATCTGACTGGTTGGGTACGTGAGGAAAGTAGAGTACAGAGGTATCAAGGCCACTTCCCCAGCATCGGTTATTTAACAGAACAGGCAGAACAGGCTTCCCTCTGCATTTTCAGTCCGGCTTTGGTTTTCCTTTGGAAACATGATCCTGAAGCTACACAGAGTCCACAACAGAGTCAAAGACATTCGAGCTCATTCTCCACTTTATTTGCATGTCCCGCATGACTCTGCCCAAATCCCCAAAGTCAAAAGAAAAACTGCAGAGCCTCAGTGTTAGCACTAATTTATGATCACGATCATTTCTCTCAAATGTCTATTTTACCCTTCGTTTTAAATTGCAAAGTATATATTTACATGTTTATATACAAATAACCTCAAAAACAAATTAACCCCAATCTTGGTCCAAGAGTTTCCACTTTAGAAGTGGTTTCCTTCTCTGCTATGTACATCCTCTTCCAAGAGTCTCTTAGGACTTGGTGAGTTCCAAATATTCGTTCACAAATGGTTCCCTTTTTAGCTTAATGAACCAAGTACTTAATTTCCGAGTAAATCAGAGGAAATATTACAGAGCATGCTTTGTACAGGACAGCACCACTACTGAAAATGGCTCGGGGTTTTGTAATCCAAGGCTCCGACTTAAAGCAAAAATACGTGGCGTAGATCGCAACAGCAAAGAAATGTCCAATTAAAACTAGAGGGTTAGGAGACAGTCTGTAACAGAAAAAAACAAACAAAAAAAACCATATATATATTAGTAAGACCCGGCAATTAAAATTTACTCATAAAAAGGTTCTAATTATGTATCATCTACAAAGCTGAACACACGCTCTACACTTTAGAGGACTCTGCAAGCTTGTGTGGCCCGCTGTATGATGACAGGGACAGATACATGTTCTTACAAGAAACTCCTTAGACTATCCCCTGTCAGAGAAGCCAGCAACTCTTAGTCTAGTTCACATAAACTGTATGTTCTGAGCTGTTCCACTGATCTTGAGACCTCAGTCCGAAGTACCTGGATGGCCTGACCTGTGGGAGTCTTGGGTTTTCCAAAGATAACAGTATTGACATTCAGATCATAGACGAATGAGAAGAGACTTGAAGAATTTTACCCTGCAGACTTTTCAAGAATAATTCTATGTATGCCTGTACTGTCAAAACCATTACTGAGTTTCACAAGTCCCTGCACGTCAACTGAATTAAGTTTTAAATACAAATTCCTCTGTTATCTGTGGCTCCCAACAATCAGATCATGTGGTTAAACCCACCAGCAAAAACTAAGTTTCTATTTTAATCAGGGCTTTGGCCCCCTCTACCACCAACTTCTGCTCACCACTTTTCCCAGAAGTCAAACACAGGACTAAGTGTTGCTTTTTTCCTTTCTCTGAGCTACCTTCTGATTGAGATTCTAATGGATAGTAAAGTGACAAAATGTATCAGGAAGAAAGACTTGCAGTAATTGATAAACTGAGCAGTCCCAAAGAAGATCTGAAATACCCAGTTCCTGTGTCATCAAAACAACCCAGGGTGCCTGGGTGGTTCAGTAGGTTAAGCGTCCGAATCTTGATTTCAGTTCAGATCATGATCTCACAGTGTCGGAGTTCAAGCCCCACATCGGGCTCTGCACTCACAGCACGGAGCTTGCTTGGGATTCTCTCTCTGTCTCTGTCTCTCTCTCTCTGTCTCTCTCTCTCTCTCTCTCACTCTCTCTGTCTCCCTTTGCTCCTCCCCTGCCTGCACTCTTTCTCAAAATAAATAAACATTAAATATATTTAAATAAATAAATACAACTTACACAGAAAGCAGCCCAACAGGACCAGCAATACATTCTCCACCAAGTTTGAAATAAAGAAAACAGGCTTTTCTTAGTTGATGTACGGAATCTAAAATAAAATTTTAAAATCACTCTGAATCAAAATATTCACACATTTATTTTAGGGTGCTAATGATCTGTCAGAAAAAAATGTAACATAGACCAAACCTTATAATTTTTTAAAAAATCTAGTCCTGGAATTTCAACAACTCAAAATTTCTTTTAAATTCCATAATTAGCATTATGGGCAATAGCTTAAGTGTGAACAAACTTTTCTGTTAGTAAATAATCACTGTAAAAAGCATGCAGGTCTCAGAAGTTAAAGTTGTTTAAGTGTTATTTCCTTGACTGTGTTGTAAATTCATTAAATGATGCAAATATGTTGTAAATTCTTTTGGTCATAAAAACACAATTCTAGGGGCGCCTGGGTGGCTCAGTCGGTTAACCGTCCGACTTCAGCTCAGGTCACGATCTCACGGTCCATGAGTTCGAGCCCCGCGTCGGGCTCTGGGCTGATGGCTCAGAGCCTGGAGCCTGCTTCCGATTCTGTGTCTCCCTCGCTCTCTGCCCCTCCCCCATTCGTGCTCTGTCTCTCTCAGTCTCAAAAATAAATAAACATTAAAAAAAAAACAAAAACAAAAACAAAAACAAAAAACACAATTCTAGAACCCAAACTCCCAATCTCTAAGATACCCAACCTGTATTTCTGAGCATATTATCAAGTAAAAATAGCTGTGAATATTAAATATTAATGCCTTGTATTTGTATACTTTTTCATACTTTTCAAAGTAACCTGTCAAACCTTCACAACAGAGTATTATCAACCAATAATCTTTCTATTTAGAATCAATGTTCTTTTCAGGTATACTTAAGATTTTTCTTTAGAACAGATAAAAAAGGATATAATAGATAATCTCACTCCAATAAAACTCTTTCCTCTTCTATCGTAATTTCTTTTAAGTTGTTTGTTGGCAGATTGAAATTCATAACGTAAGACTCTCAAGAGCTTAGGAAAACTTAAAAAGAAGTGCTTAGAAAAACTCAAAACTTTTCTTTTTACTTGCCCACCCCGCCAGTTTAGCTTCCGTGCCAGTTAGCAAGAGAGGGTAGATTGGCAAACCACCATCAATGAGTTGTTTTTTTTCTTTTAGCAAGGATAACGTGTATGGAGGCTACAGAAGGCACTTGTGCCGTATCAGGTCACCAAAGAGCTGGATCGCCAGTTCACGGAAGTAGGCTTGTTGTAAATATCTGAGGTAATAGGATTGGAGTCACATTTATTCCTGAAAACGTAAATGTCCGATTTCATCGTGGCACGGTCGCCTCCTCCTCCATTTCTACTGCTTCTGCTGCGTCACGTTTTCCTCAATATACAGACTGACCATCGCCACTTTACAATGTGGAAGCAAATACAAAAGCATGGGAACGTTTCAAGTGAGTAGAAGGGGGACGCATTCTGCTATTCGTGCATTGTAGCAGGAGACGAAAATCTAACCTTGTTACGAAGCTCATTACTTATTTTACAAAATACAACGAACAGAAATCGTAACTGGTGTTCAAGGAAGAAAAGGCTTAACAACTATGTTTCGTTTTCATTCACGGCCAGAAGACCCTCCATCACGACTTTGTGCATCTGTGGCTCCGCGTGAGCTGATTTGGGCCAGAGGAATGAATGGACACATTATTGAAGTATTGCTGTTAATACTTCCCCACAAAGTGGTGGATACGTGATAACTAGAGGCTAAAAGTCTTGCGCAAGGATGGAGTTAAGGGCCACCAGTTGGGAGTCAGTAGACTTGGTAAATATTTCTATTTGTGGCCTAACGACTAACTTTTTTATAATTCAGTTCCCTTCCTGTGATAAAAATCAATTTTTTAATTTTAAAACTCCGTAATTTCCATTAAAAATTATCTATACTTAGGGGCACCTGGGTGGCTCTATTGGTTAAGAGTCCGACTTTGGCTGAGGTCATGATCTCATGGTTCATGAGTTTGAGCTCCGCACTGGGCTCTGTACTGTCAGTGAGGAGCCTGCTTGCGATTCTCTCTCTCTGCCCCTCTCCCTGTCTCAAAATAAATTAAAAAACAAACAAACAAAAAAAAAACTGAAGAAAGTAAGATATACTTACCATCCGTGGCAGAAAATAATTCATAAAGAGCCTGAGCAAGGATATTCACAACAAAGGAATGAGATGTTTTTCTTGCCCAGTAGAATGATTTTTTGGCCTAAAAAAGAAAGAGATCACTTGTTATATGGTAAAGCTGGGGGGCAGTGCAAATGAGTGCTTATAATCCCCTCAAGCTGATGTTTATCCTGAGGACTACCTACAAGTAATGCAGCCTTATATTCGTCATTTACACACACACGCACACACGCACACACAAGAACACATCTCCAGAGCAATGAGCTCCATGACTCTGAAGCTAAATGTACAATCACTACAGGCGAAGTGGCCTGTGCCAACCAATGCTACGTAATACTCATACAAAAATGGAGAAACTGGGGCACCTGGTAGGGGGGGTCAGTCGATTAAGCATCTGACTTGATTTCGGCTTGGGTCATGATCTCCCAGTTCACAGGTTCAAGCCCTGTGTTGGGCTCTGTGCTGGCAGCACAAAGCCCGCTTGGGATTTTCTCTCTCTCTGCCCCTCCCCTGCTCACGCTTTCTCTTTCTCTCAAATAAACAAACATTTTTAAAAAACAAAAAAACAGAAATTCGGTAAGATTCATGGGGTGCACAGGCTCCCAGATTCTTTACACGGGAACAAGGCTGCCTGAGAACCATGACTTAGGATCAGGCTCCTCCCAGGTACAGATCCCCCCAAGGAGGTCCCATCCCTCTTAGGCCTAGAAAGAAATCTGTCTTGAGGCACCTCTGTCAAAGAATGATTGAATATCCTACCTGGAAAACAGCTGCATCATCATAAAGGTCAGGGATACCTTTTAGCAATTTTCTCCATATCTTTATGTCTTTAAAAACAACAGTCATTCCTCCTCCAGTAAGAGGATGCCGCATATTATACGCATCTCCCAGAAGAAGAACGCCTACAATGAGAGAATTTAGATTATGACATCATCCCTTAAGACACATAAAAAAATAGTCTGTTACTTTCTAAACGTGAGTGTGAGCCAGAAAATCAAGATGTGAAAATACAAGGGAACAAATCATGCCTAAAATTTGCTGATGCAAAAATTCAGTTAGTCCATATTGGGCACCTAGTAGGTCACAGACACTGGGGATACAGTGAGAACGAGAACATGGTCCCTGCCCTCGGGAAAGTCACATGTGAATCAAAGGTGAAGTCAAACTGTCACATACGCATAAGGCCTCTTTCGTGAAAACACCAAAAGAATCTTGGCACAAAAAGCAAGTCTTCGACATGGGAAAAATGAAGAGGTCTGACATTTCATGGCAACACTGGCTGCCAGCACACTCTAGAGAAATGTCCGTAAAGTTTGAAGTTAAAGAAAGTGGGCCCTGGGGTGCCTGGGTAGCTCAGTTGGTTGAGCGACCGACTTCGGCTCAGGTCATGATCTCATGGTTCGTGAGTTTGAGCCCCGCGTTGGGCTCTGTGCTGGCAGCTCGGAGCCTGGAGCCCGCTTCGGATTCTGTGTCTCCCTCTCTCTCTGTCCCTCCCCCACTCATGCTCTGTCTCTCTCTCAGAAATAAACATTAAAAAAAATTTTTTTTTTAAATAAAGAAAGCGGGCCCTGGGAAGATGATACCCAGCCATGCTGCAGTCTGAATTAAAGAGCAGGAACAAGCAGATATTCCAAACCTTTCTGAAGTTAATTTGGACAAATAAGCCCTGACTGAATCTTACCTGAAAATCAGCTCTTTGATTCAAAACTGCAGAGGCAGGAGGCGCCACCCTTTGACCGCAGGTGCGCCTGCCTGAGCGGCCTGACCGCGCTCCCCAGGCCCCTGTCAGCCCACTTAATGACCTAAGACTTGAGTAACATTTCAACAAAGCGTTTATTTAATTGTATTTGTAAGAGACACAGACAACCGTAATAGTAATGTGAAGGTGGCAAGATTATGGGTAACTATTTTCTGTAACGTCACAGTTACATTTGTAACTAATTGTAGAATACACATAAATATTAGCTTCTAAAAAGGTAGCTTCTAAATATTAATTCACATTTCCTAAGTATTTCTCTAATATCTTCACTAAAAACACCACAGACTATATGGGGTGCGTGGGTGGCTGAGTCAGTTAAGGATCTGACTTCGGCTTAGCTCATGATCTCACGGTCCATGAGTTCAAGCCCCTCTTCGGGCTCTGTGCTAGCAGCTCAGAGCCTGGAGCCTGCTTCAGATTGTGTCTCCCTCTCTCTCTGCCCCTCCCCAGCTCACATTGTGTTCTGTCTCTCAAAAAGGAATAAACGTTAAAGAAAAAAAAAATAAAAAACCCACAAACTATAAACAGCTTTTATTCCTCCTTCTCCAAGGATCATTTCTAATTCCACCAATTGTTGCTGGCATGCTATTTATATCAGTTTGGCATTGCCCTCTTCATTCTGCTTTGCATTAGTTTCTTTATACGATTAGTAGTTTATTATGCATGTTTTCCCATAGCAAATTCCATCTGTTTACGTTCAGGAGCCACCGGGTAGCGACAGCTCCCACCCACACCTGTCTCTGGGGACCTGCTCTCAGGCTGTCAGGGGTGTTCCGCACCTCTCCTCCAACGCCCTGCCAGCACTTCATACACAATATGCCCGAGAGCGGACTCACCACCCCTTCCCACACTTCCTAAACTTACATTCTTTTCCCTGTATTTCCAATATTAGCAAACAGCTGGCAAAATCATCTAAGCCTGAAACGTGTAATCCATCAAGAGACCTCTCTCTCCCTACAACAGCCAACGGGTCACCAACTTTCATGCGTTCTACATCCCAGAGACACACGTTTCCACTCCCTACCTTCCATTCTCACTGCCATGGCCCGGCGTTCCAACCTCTCACCACCACCCTCGTGGAACAATGGCCTTACTGTAAGCTTTTGCCTGACCCTTCTTCCAAACCACTCTCGACAGCAGAGTATTACCTCTAAGATAAAAATCTAATCGTGCCACCATCTCATTTAAAACTTTCCAACTATTAGAAACAAATGAGTTCAGCAAGGTTTCAAGATATAAGATACACAGGCAAAAATCAATTGTATTTCTGTACACTAGCAATGAAGAATCTTAAAATGAAGTTAAGAAAACAAGTCTATTTACAATTGCATGAAAAGGAATAAAATACTTGGAAATAAGTTTAACAAAAGAAACGTAATAAAACACTCTGAAAGCTACAAAATATTGTTGAAAGAGAAAACTCATACTACGTTTACAGTCTAATTTGACAAGAGTGCCAAGACACTTCAATGGGGAAAGACTACTCTTTATCAAATAGTACTGGGACAACGAGGTATCTACACAGAAACGAAGCTGAACCCCTTCCTCACACCATACCCAAAATTTAACTCAAAATGGATCAAACACCCAAATGTAGTAGCTAAAACTATAAATCTCTTAGAACAACATACAGGATTACATCTTCACAATCCTGAATAGGGCAAACCCTTTTTAATTACTTACTTATTTTAAATGCTGCGGTTTCTCATGCTAGTATTTTTAAGTTTATTTATTTATTTTGAGAGAGAGTGCACAAGCAGGGGAGGGGCAGAAAGAGAGGGAGAGGGAATCACAAGCAGGATCCGCCCTCTCAGTGTAGAGAGGGGCTCAGTCTCACAAACCATGAGATCATGACCTGAGCCAAATCAAGAGTTGGACACCTAACCCACTAAGCCACCCAGGCACTCCTAGGGCAAAGTCTTTTTAGATATGACATCAAAAGCACAAAGTGACAAAAGAAAAACACAGATAAACTGGACTTCATGAAAATTAAAAACTTCAATGGACATCTTCAAGAAGTGAAAAGACAATCCATGGAATGAGAAAAGTTTTTGCAAATCATTTATCCGACAAGGGACTTATATCTAGAATATATAAAGAACTCCTATAACTCAACAAAAGTTTTTTTAATTAATTTAACCAATTAAAAAATGTGCAGGCTGGGGCGCCTGGGTGGCGCAGTCGGTTAAGCGTCCGACTTCAGCCAGGTCACGATCTCGCAGCCCGTGAGTTCAAGCCCCGCGTCGGGCTCTGGGCTGATGGCTCAGAGCCTGGAGCCTGTTTCCGATTCTGTGTCTCCCTCTCTCTCTGCCCCTCCCCCATTCATGCTCTGTCTCTCTCTGTCCCAAAAATGAATAAACGTTAAAAAAAAAAAAAAAAAAATTAAAAAAAAAAAATGTGCAGGCTGAATGGACATTTCACCAAAGAAGATATACAAATATCCAATATGCATATGAAAAGATTTTCAGCATCATTATCCATCACAGAAATACAAATCAAAACCACAATGAGATATCACTTCACACCTACTAGAATGGTTATGGGCAAGAAGACAGATAATAACAAATGTTGAGGATGTGGAGAAACTGGAACATTCATACATTGTTAATGGGAATGTAAAATGGGGCAGCCACTTTGGAAAAGTTTGGCAGTTCCTCAAAGAGTTAAACAGAGTTACCAAACCCAAGAAAAATGAAAATTATGTCCGTACATAGACGCATATACAGACGTTCACAGCAGCGCTGTTCATAATAACCAAAAATGAAAACAAGCCAAATGTCTATCAACTGATGAATAGCTGGTTAAAATGTAGTATATCCACACATGGAGTATCATTGTGCCATGAAAACAAATGAAGGACTCACACATACTGCAATGTGGATGAACCTCAAAGAAGCCACTTACGAAGGATCCACTGATTTCATTTATAGAAAATGTCCAAAATAGGCAAATCCACAGAGACAAAAAGCAGACTGACTAATGGATGCCTGGGGCTGGGAGTCGGGAGAAAATGAGTAGCGACTGCTAATGGATATAGGGTTTCTTTTTGGGGTAATAAAAAGGCTCTTTAGAGTCCGTTTTAACTGACCGTGGTGATGGCTGCATTGATCTATGAATATACTAAAAACAAATGGATTGTAAACTTCAATGGATGAGCCATATGATTTATGAATTACATCTCAGAAAAGCTATTATTAAAAAAAAAGTTGCAATGACTTTCCACTGTCTACAGGATTAAAACTAAACTTTAAATAAATACCTTACCTTTCTACCACTCTGACACCTAGCCTACGCTCCAGTCACAGGAAACCACTTGAGTTCACTGAAAGTGCCACCATTTCTCAGCCTTCGTGGCCTTTGCAGATGCTATTCCATCTACTTAGAAGTCCCTCATTTCACTGTCCACCTAATGAACTCCCACTAACCCTTCTTGCCCCAACCCCCGTTTTCTTGCCTGAGACATGTCTTCCCAAATCACCCTTCCTAGTTCACAAGCTCCCCTCCCTGCCACAATGAATCTTGTGGTACCACGAGTGGGCTTTGACTACAGCATTTATCAACAGTGTTCTGAAATTACCAGTTGATACCCCTGACCAGAAAACGGCCTTTTCTAGATTTAGGACTATATTTAACTGTTGTATCCCAAATAATGACTTAAATGCACTCAACATTAAATAATAAAGATATCATAAAACTAATTTTGGTGTTAGTAATGTGTTCATCCACAGGAACCACTTCTCTGTCCCACATATCATTCCCAGCAGCATACATTTAATCACATATTATATTTGGAATATTTGGAATTTACATATCTGGAATATACTTTATAAATCACTCCAATCAAATGGTACCTCGTTTGTTTACTGGGGAAGAAGGAAGAAAGCTTGCTGGCATAGATCTCAAACGAGAATTCTGAATGGCTTCTAGGAACGGTTCTTTGAGGTGATCTGCAATAAATCCCAAAGGTTTATAAAATTCAATTTTCAATTATCACATGTTCTTAATCAAGTATAAATACCTTCTATACTTCTGTTATGGTTGCTACATATATCCTGGTGGCAAATCAAGAACTAATTATTTTATTAACACAATTGTTGATTAAGCACCTAGTTATTCATGCTGAGGAATGACTAAGAAATCTGAGAAAATTAATATAAATAGATACACACAGCTGAATGAACAAAAAAAGCGAAGAGAGTGAAGCAAATTCAGAGGAGAGGAGACGGAGAAAAACCACCCACCTCTCTTCCAAATGTTCACTGACAGGGATCAGATTTAACACTTAGGTTACCATCACCACCATAACCTGGTAATGACAGATGAAATGTACTACCAATTCACAAACAGCAGGAATATATGTACGGTAGAAAAAGGGTAAGATGCAGAGAGCTCTACTTTTCTGAGTTTCCGTTTCTTCATCTATAAAACGAAATGCTTTGGTTATTAGCTCATCTCTCAGACACTCCCAAGTTTTAAAGTTTTATGCTTCTACTTGTATCGGAAATGAACTGTCTTTTCATACAGTTCTCACTGTGATCTGGGAAGACAGGCGCAGAACGCCTACGTTGAAACTATTCCATTCCTATAAGTAGAATTTCAATAACCTAACTAATATTAATATAAATCTACAAATGGTTTCCCACCATGATCTCTGGGAAGTCTGTTCTGAACCTCTGTACTGGAAAAGGCAATCTACAGTAAAAGAAAAAAAAAATGCCAAAAATATCACATTATTGGGGCGCTTGGCTGGTTCAGTCAGTAGAGCATGCACCTTTTTTTTTTTCTGTAATTTTATTTTTGTTTAGTAATCTCTATACCCAACACGGGGCCAGAACTCATGACCCTGAGATCAAGAGTCGCACACTGCTCTGACCAAGCCAGGCAGGCCCCCAAAGTGTGCGACTCTTGATCTCAGGGTTGTGAGTTCGAGCCCCACATTGGGTATAGAGATTCCTTAAAAATAAAATCATAAACAAATAAAAAAATAAAATAAAAAATAAAAATATCACATTATTGACTATCTTTTTCCTCAGGGTGAATAATTCATTTTTCCTAAAAGCTTCAAAAATGGCTTAAGTGAAAATATATTGAAATGTTGAAAATGTCTTTTTTTTTAATTTGGGAGAGAGAGTGAGCACGAGGTGGGGAGAGGGGCAAAGGGAGAGGGAGAGAGAGAGGGAGAGAGAGAGAGGGAGAGAGAGAGAGGGAGAGAGAGAGAGGCAGAGAGAGAGAGAGAGACAGAGAGAGAGACAGAGAGAGAATCTTAAGCAAGCTGCATGCTCAGGGTGGAGCCCCATGCAAGGCTCGATCCCACAACCCTGGGATCATGACCTGTGCCAAAATCAAGAGTCAGACGCTCAACCGACTGAGCCAGCCAGGCGTCCTGAAAATGTCATTATTAAAAATCTAAGTCCATCTTAGTCCTCTTCAGATGTTTATATTCTTATTAAACAGAGTGCTTTCACATAGATTAAAAAATAACCAGAGGGCACCTGGCTGGCCCAGTCAGTAGAGCATGTGACTCTTGATCTGGGGGTCATGAGTTTAAACACCACATTGGGCACAGCGCTTATTTAAAAACAAAACATGACAAAAAAAACTTGAAAAAGAAACAATTTTTAAACAAAATATACACCTACCACAGATAGTTTCCTATTACTATAATCATATCATCTAATCATATTAAAGGGTTTCTCTTCAATTTTATCAATATTTTAATATTTCAATTAATAATCTTAATTTTTTAGATTTTTTTTTTTACTGACATCTTCAAGTCTCAAAAATACATGTCAGAAAGTAATTTTTTAGGAGTGTTTTGCAAAGATGCCTGAACTCTCATGAAGCCTTTCTGTATTCAACTCAAAACTAAAAATGACCTTGAAGATTGCTTACAGCTCTAACATTCTGAAAGGGGGCTATATGAGCCACACACAACTGGCCTCACACTGGCTCTGTCACTTAGTGATCATTTATCTTTGGAGGACCTTTTGCTGATTCTTAGTTCCCTCATTAATAAAATGGGGATCATGATAATGCCCTACCTCACAGGGTGATTGTGTAGATTAAGTTATGTTTATAAAGCACTTTATAGTAGATATTCAATAAATGGTAGCTACTATGGCTACAAAAACCAAGCACAAAAGTAATTAAGTATAAGAGAGATTTCTAGAATTCGGAGACCTTAGATTGCTATTTGGACCACCTTAAAAAGTACCACATATGCCAATATTAATAATTATCCTGAAAGCAATGATTTAATTATTAATATGAAAAAATATATTGAAAAAATTTTTTTTAATTTGAAGGTTGTTTTTTTCAACGTGCTAAAACAGCTCAACTCCAGTGTATCTGACTGACTAGATGCATTTTTTTTTACCTGCCATGTTTATCTTTGGCCTAATTTAGAAACAGCTTTAGTGAGAACCGGAGATGGACAGCCTTTTGTGATATTTTAGACTACAGATTACAATGTGGATGAAATCTCTTTCTTACCGGGTAATTGTGGGTAAATTTTTTCAGCCATGTATTCTCTTAAATTCCTGGGCATTTCCCCCCGAATGTCAACAAGTACTCGAGTTTCATCAGATGAAATCTGATAGATGAGAACTGGACTCGGATTAGCCAAAATAAGTTCAGCATGGTTTGCTTTAAACTGTGGTGCATGCTAGGGGGGAAAAAAAGAATTAATAATTTTCAAATTTCAAGTTGTGTTTATTTTTCTATAATTATATTCCTATAGTACCTTCATAATAAAGCCCACAAAATGAGATGAAACAGAAACTTTATTGGAGATCAGGTTTTTCCTAAACTTGGAAAAAAGTCCATCGGCAACAACAGTCAATGGAGCATGGAGTTCCTACAACAAAGATAAACAATACTCAGCTAAATGGTTAGAAATACAAAGTAAAAGGACCACATTTAAAATATTTACATATTTTATTGGACAACATTATGGAGGGTAATGAAGATAATGCTACTAAAGAAGCTGTTATGGAACTTAAGTTAATGCATAAGAAGACATTAATACTTGCTCTCCTGAGGGGCTGCCTTCCTTCAAAGTACTACCACCCAAATCATCTGGGAGTTAAGTTACACTTTGATAGACAACAGAGGAATCAACTACAAAGCAAGTGTGGACCACAGAAGACTGAATCTCATCATCACAAAGTCCAAGGACGAGTCCAGTGTTTATTCTAGAATTTTCTTTACTTTTCTTTTTTTACTTTAAATTCATGTTAGTTAACATATAGGGTAGTTGGTTTTGGGAGTAGAATTTAGTGATTCATCACTTACATGTAACACCTAGTGTTCATCCTAACAAGTACCCTCTTTGATGCCGATCACACATTTAGTCCATTCCCCTACCCACCTCCCCTATTCTAGAATTTTCTAACTTCATGTAATGCTTTCAACCAGTGGCTAGGGCTTAGAAGAATTTTTGTAAATGTGGATATATGTATTTATATTACCTTGCAGTCACCCCCATTAGAGTACAGTTTCTAGGTGGTGGTGACCCATCCACAAAAACCAACAGATTAGCCTTTCACTCTTTCTCTTCTTTCGCTAAACCAAAATGAGCAAATACTGGAAACTATTTTACTCTGCTATCTCCCCAGGCATTCTGGTACTTTTTCCTTTTCAGATCTAAACAATTTGAAACAATTTGTTTACTTTATTCTAATCATTTCTTTTGTATCGAATCCTTTGTTTTTTTTTTTGTTTTTTTTTTTTTGCCTTCCAGGCTCCTCTGCTTTTCTGTTTTTCTCACTTCGGTCTTTAATACAGCTAATCCAGTGGTGTGTCTGGAAAGCTGTGTGTATAGCCTTGTGAGGTGCTCTAATGGGCAATGTGTTGCAATTTGAAACCCATCCTGCTGCAGAGGGCTTAGAGAGAACTCAAGCAGTAAATTGGTGGGCCTACTTTTTTAAAGGAATAGGAGAAAAAGAAGGAAGACAAAATCTCTTAGGAAGAGCTAACATTTGGTATCTCTCACCTTGATGTCCCCGGTTTCTTTATCCCTGTACTGTACGCCCATTACAGCATCATCTTCTTCTAATAACTGTAGCACGATGCCTTCGATGAACTTTGTACTAAAGGATAAATACACAGACATAAATCACAACAGAGTAGCTCAAACAACTTACATAAGAAAAGATAAATTCCTTATCTCCAGTTTACCCACGTAAACTGGACACACGTGTGCACACATGTACACAGAAAAGGTCTGGAATGATAAGCAAAAACATCATTAATGGGTTTCAGAATTATGCGTGGTTTTTATTTTCTAATTTCTTAAAATTGAATACATAGGTACTAATCTAATGATCTTTAAAAGTAGTTTTAAAAGTAACATTAGATTTTTACCTCAATTCATTAAAAAAAGTACATGCAGAAAAACTTTACACACCCACACAAATTCATACACAGATGGGAAAACAGAATTGGGACTTTATCCACCGAATTATTCACAGTAGTTACTTCTAGTCAGAAGAGTCATGGATAATTTTTACAAACCTTTGTACATTTCTGTGGATTTTTCCATTTTTCTACAATGAACATATTCTACTTCCACAGACATCAAATTCTTTCAGTCCTAAGGGTAAGTCCACTTACTTCTTCACTAGCTTACTCAACACTTAAGCTTTTGCCAATGATATGAGGGTTCTCAAGCTTGAAACTTCCTCAATTACAGTGCCTAAAGGCTAGGGAAAAATAGAAGTTAATAATTAAGAGAAGAAGCCAGTCCTACCAGACTAGGTCCTTCCTTTTTAAGAATGGAAAAGGGATTTTCCCTTGAAGTCCTCTGTTCTGACTTTTAACAGAAAATACCATAAGCACAAACCCCAACTCCCAAATAGGCAGACAGGGACTTAAACCTTAATTACAAGGGTATCCTTTAGGGGCCCCTGGGTGGCTCGATTAAGTGTCGGACTTCTGATCTCACGGTTTGTGAGTTCAAGTCCTGCGTCTGGCTCTCTAGAGGCTGACACCTCAGAGCCTGGAGCCTGCTTCAGATTCTATGTGGCCCTCTCTCTCTGCCGCTTCCCCTGCTCACACTCTGTCTCTCTCACCCTCTCAAAAATAAATAAATATTAAAAAGAATTTTTAAAAAGTTTATCCTCTAAATCCAACAACATAGAAACGCTATTTAGTCAAAGGAAAAATCTCAATAGTTCTGTGTCATTCACATGGAAATTCTTCACATGATATTCTTGACAAAGGCACTGAAGATCTAACATTCTTCTAACTTGCAGTCTACTTTAGTAATACCTATGTTTCAGCCCATACCCAAACACTTATGACAATTTATGAAATGGTATTTGTGCAAAGGCCAAGTTTAAATGTGTTTCTTTAACATCATACGTTTGAGTCGTCTTACTTGGGCTCTGCCATCGCTGCTTTCCGGAGACCCATTATGAATCTTCCATGATGGAAAGCTCTTCCACTCTGCACCTGACTGTTTTCTGACAGAGGGTAAGGAATGTGAACCTCTGATTTGCTTTCCTGATCATGAATTACGTAGCCATGTACGACCTGAGCATCAATACCTTCCACTGCATCTGCAAAACAATTCAGTTCAAAAAAAATCAGTTTTGTTAACATGCCCAGAGTTATATGAGGCACCAAAAGACATGGAGGCATTGAAAATGAGTCTCTTTCTTCATAAAGCGATTGAAACCATCTGGACAAATGGACATTAATATAAGTAACTATTTCAAAAGTCTTAATGCATCTGAAAGACAACCCTCTGAGCAAATCTGTAATATCACAAAAGATTAATATTTGTATAGAAAATCTATTGATTAACTTCTATAGGAAAAATATTAAGATCCTAGTGTCAATGGGTGAAAAGTTTAAGGATGATTCACATTAAGCAATATGGAAACATTGAACAGATCAGGAAACTGTTCAAAACCTGATTAAGAAAAAACAAACCGATGAAATAAACTGAAACATTAAGATACCAAATCTATGAAAACTGCTGGTGAGATGATAAAACCGATACATTTATATATTACTGGTCATACTGTCAGTTAATAACATTTTAGAAAGTAATGGTGGCAATAATTATCAAGAACCACAAAGAAGTTAGCATCCTTTGATTTAATCATCTTAGTCTTGGAAGTTCATCTATGTTCATCCTAAAAATATAATTTTTAATTTTTAAGAATTTTATTTTTTTTTTTAATTTTTTTTTCAACGTTTATTTATTTTTGGGACAGAGAGAGACAGAGCATGAACGGGGGAGGAGCAGAGAGAGAGGGAGACACAGAATCAGAAACAGGCTCCAGGCTCTGAGCCATCAGCCCAGAGCCTGACGCGGGGCTCGAACTCCCGGACCGCGAGATCGTGACCTGGCTGAAGTCGGACGCTTAACCGACTGCGCCACCCAGGCGCCCCAGTTTTTAAGAATTTTAAAAAAATATTTTAATGTTTGTTCATTTTCGAGAGCAAGAGACAGAGTGTGAGCGGTGGGAGGAGCAGAGAGAGAGGGAGACACAGAACTGGAAGCAGGCTCCAGGCTCTGAGCTGTCAGCACAGAGCCCCATGCGAGTCTTGAACTCAGGAACCATGAGATCATGACCTGAGCTGAAGTCAGACACTTAACTGACTGAGCCACCCAGGTGCCCCAAGTTTTAAGAATTTTTAAAGTTATATATAAGAATAAGTTTACTATAGTGTTATCACTAATAAAGAAGAAATGAAAACAAACCAAATATTAATCTTAGAAAGGTAGAGTACATTATGAGGTATCAACTGAGAAAATACTATGCATAGGCCTAAAATCATAATGATAAACAAGGTTAATATATTAAGATGAAATGCATTAGAATAATTTCCAATTATTCTCATGATGAAAGAAAATCTTCACAAAGAATTCTATCACACATCTAAGCTAAAATCAAAATAAATTAGCTTTCTGATATGCTTTTTAATTGCCCTTAAGGTCAAGTCAGGGACAAACTGGCCGAATTTTGTTAGACTTCTGACCTAGAATCAAAATTACTTAGTTTTTTAGTATCGTTCTTAAGTTATTACAGTTAAAATTCAGTCAGAGAAAAGTGCACAGACATCCTAAGAGCTGCCAAGTAGCAGTGTATTCAGTTTGGGTCTCAGCAAATTGCCAATCTTTTCCGACCTAAATATCTGAAGCCCATTTAATATTTCTATAATGCTTTGTCCAGGCACTGAGACAGTTTGTTTTTCTTAACCCATAACTCTATTATGGAAGTACTTGAAATGTTTACACTGGCCACTTTAGAACATACCAGAAAATGTTAAAAGCATAATAGCACAGTAAAATTTTTCCTTGGGTAAACTATCTTAAGACAAGTATATAAATAAGGTCTTATTTAAGATTTTTTAAATCTGTCTCTGTCTCAACTTTATTGATAAAATCAAATATGACAGACTTTGCACACTTTTACTTTCTTAAGTAGGCAAAAAGACTACCCTACACTTCAATGACATTCGTGCTTCATGAACACTAGACATCAATAACTTTGAAGCCAGTGACATAACAGAGCTATCACTATCTATTAATCATAAGGCTCCACACTTACAATATTAGACTACTGGTCAGTATATCACATAAACTGACATGGAAAACACTCCTCCACATTAAAAAATACAGAACTGCTTGCTATAAAAAGGCAAATTAAAAAATAAAACCAACAATGAAAAAAACAAAACACGAAAACCTGCCTATGCTAAAAATGAAAAGCAACTTCAAAGTCAAACCAGTGAACAAGTTTTAAAGGCAACAGCATAAGGGCATCAGAACCACAAGTGTAAGAGTGGACTTTTAAGGGCCACTCCTGAATAGGAGATAGGAGCCCCCATGACCAGGGACAATCAAACTTAGCACCATACATAAATGTCTTGTCAATAACACAGAAACCACAAAAAATTCAATACCAAGAGACATGGCATATGGAAGTAAGCCATTCACCATAGGCTAGGGGTGGAGTCATCCATAAAAAATCCAAACATACCTTTATGCCATGACCTCATATAACTTCTGAACCTCAAACCAAGTATACAGTATATAATAAATTAGGTATCATTTTTGAAAGCCCAAATATAAACCAGAATCAAGGAATAAATATAACAAAAAACATACAAGATTTATGAATCTTTATTTAAATGCATTAAAGACCTAACTGAATGGAGTATACCACATTCGTGGACAGGAAGTCTAAGCAAATTATTCCAAAACTGAGCTACAGATTCAGTGCTATTTCAGTCATAATCTTGACAGAGATATTTTGAAAATTTATTTCTAAATTACATAGAGAAAAGCAAAAGGGCCAAGAAAAGCCAAAATAATCCTAAAGAAAATAAGAGGTTCCCCACCAGATATTAAGAGTTATTAGAAAGATATAGCATTTATATTAATTTTAGGAGTTCTTGGGGCAGGCATTTGAGTGGCTCAGTCGGTTAAGTGTCCGACTCTTGATTTCGGCTCAGGTCGTGATCTCACAGTTTGTGAGTTTGAGCCCCATGTGGGCCTCCACATTGATAGTGCAGAGCCTGCTTGGGATTCTCTCTTTCCCTCCCTCTCTGCCCTTCTGCTCACGCTCTCTCAAAATAAAACTTTTTTAAAACAAAAAGAGTTCTAGATATTAAACTTAACCCATAGGGCAATCACTTATTAAAAACTCATACTCAGGGGACACCTGGGTGGCTCAGTTGGTTAAGCATCCGACTTCGGTTTAGGTCATGCATGATCTCACAGTGCATGGGTTCCAGTCGGGCACTGGGCTCTGTACTGACAGCTCAGAGCCTGAAGCCTGCTTCGGATTCTGTGTCTCCGTCTCTCTCTGCCCCTCCCCCGCTTGTGCTTTCTCTCTCAAAAATCAACATTAAAAAAAACATAACTCAGGATGGATCAGTCCATATTATGTTAAAAATCCACACTCTAAAAAGTAACTATTCCAAGTGTTTCTATCATCCACATCTCATCACAACTCAGGGGAAATTCATAGCGTAATGAATGTTAATAAAAATTTGTATTTGTAATATTAAAGGTATTCATTGTATGTGGACTCGATAAAATACTTTAGAGGCTCTCCTTACTCTTGCATTGAACTACATATCAAAATCTACTACGTGGCAATGAGAAAGAACGAAATATGGCCCTTTGTAGCAATGTGGATGGAACTGGAGAGTGTGATGCTAAGTGAAATAAGCCATACAGAGAAAGACAGATACCATATGGTTTCACTCTTATGTGGATCCTGAGAAACTTAACAGAAACCCATGGGGGAGGGGAAGGGAAAAAAAAAAAAGAGGTTAGAGTGGGAGAGAGCCAAAGCATGAGACTCTTAAAAACTGAGAACAAACTGAGGGTTGATGGGGGGTGGGAGGGAGGGGAGGGTGGGTGATGGGTATTGAGGAGGGCACCTGTTGGGATGAACACTGGGTGTTGTATTGAAACCAATTTGACCATAAATTTCATATATTGAAAAAAAAAAAATCCACTGAGGCTTGTTACCACAGCCTTGGAAGTATCTCCTGAAGCTAGATCTCTAAATGATTCTATGTACAGTCATCAGTTTTGAGAGCATTTACGGTGCCTAATGTTCAACTATAAAAGTAACAAAATCCTGTCTCACGATATTGTTACATCTGCTTCAGGTGAACCTCTCCGGTAAGATGGTGGTTAGGGAACCCAAAAGCACAGAGATATAACTTTCCTTCTTCATAAAGCACTCTCTCCACTTGGGTCCTGGGCCCTGAAGGCTTTTGCTTTTCCTCCTTACTAACTGCTCTTCCTCAGTCCCCCTTTATCACTTCCACTTGCCTCACTGATCGCCATACATCAGAGTTCCCCAGGGTTCGGTCCTGGACCTCTTCCTGGTAATGTCTTCTAGTCTTGTTTAAGTACCGACCCTTCTCTTTCTCTCATACCTAATATGTGACTTACCAGCAAGTCCTACTGACTCTTCCTTCAAAAGGCGTTTCCAGAGTGTGACCACTTCCCATCCACTCTACTGCTGTGATCCTAGGATGTTCCAAGCCATCAACTCTCACCGATTCTGCAATAGTCTCCTAACAGATCCCCCTGCTTCTGACTTTGCCACTCTTTTCCTACAGAATAACATGAATACTTCTAAATAATATTTTTAAACACACTTCTAAAACATGAGATTGAAGAACTCCTTAAACTTCTCCAATGGCTTCCCTTTGGAATATGAGCCAAATCCACATAGTGGGCTATAAAATCCTATGGTCTCAGCCCCCACGATCTGCCCACTCTTTACCTCTCCCCTTCCCTCACACCACTCCATTCAACATTATTTTCCCTTCTCACTCTTCAAACAGTTTGTGTCTGTTTTGGTCACCACTGTAGCCTCAGCATCTAGAACAGCAGCTACAATATGGTGCATGCTAAATGAATATTTATTAAATGAATGAATGGACATCACTCCTTTAGTCATTTCTCTCTCTTGCGTCATCAGTTTATTCCTCTCTACTTGATCATCTCCGTCACCAAACATGCTCTAGTATCAAAATACACCTTCTTTATCTTCACATCTACATCTCATTACTGCCCTACTTCTGTTTTCTGTTACAGAAAAACTCAAGAGTGCTTTCCTAGTCTAAATTTTTTAAACTCCCACCCACTTCAGTCTAAGCTTTGTCTCCACAACTCTGCTGAAACCTCTTGTCAACATCACAAGCAACCTTCAAAACTGCAAAATCCCATGGTCGTTTTTCTGTACTCATCTTACTGACCCTTCGTTAGCAAACCGTGACATAGTGCCCTTCCCCTTCGTGACACATACCCATCCCCTCCTACCCAAAACCTTCTCCTCTCTTGGATGAAGTGGCACCAAACGCTCTGGCTTTCTCTGCCATTCTACCAGCTCCTTCTCAGACTCCTTTTCAGGCTTCTCTCTTCTACCAGATCTTCAAATACCAGTTTCCCAGGACTTAGTTTATTCTGTCTTCTCTTTTCTCCCTACATGCCCTCAATCATTGTTGTGGCTTTTCCGTACTACAGATAGGCTGACACCTCTGAAATTTCTAACTCCAGCCAGCCCAAACCACTCCTCTGCACCCGAGATTCACATATTCTGCTTAACTTCTCCTCTTGGATAGCTCAACATGTCCCATAAATTCCTCCCCAATGCCTGTTCCTATCAGCAAATGATACCAGCTACCAGCTGTTTAAACCAAAACCCAGGAATCCTTTTTAATATTTCCTTCTTCCCCATATCTCACACCAATCCTTAGTAAGTCACGCCATTTTTAACATCAGTTGGACCACTTCTCGTTATATCCTCTGCTACCATGCTAGCCCAAACCACCATCATCTATCATTTGGACTTAGCAATGAGTTCGCACTGGACTCTGCATTGACTGTCGCTACCCCACTGCCACCATCTTACGGTGTATGGACCACACCATCTCCACATATTCTTTTAAAACAGCATTCTCCCAACTTCAGGGTGTGACTCAATGATAAATTTTGAAATGAATTTCAAGTTGTGAATTATATACTTGGGTAGAATCATGACAAGTATTTAAAAAGAAAAATGAAACAAATTTCAGCCAGATTTATATATATACGTATGTGGTGGGTCAGGATAGAAAATGTGTTTGTAATTGTGAGTAGCTGTCTAAGGTCTGAAGCCACTTTAGACGTACAGCATGAACAAGATCACGCCACACTCCTGCTCCACTGACTGCAAAGCCCTCCATGATGTGGCTGCTGCCTGTCTTTCCAACCTTGATCTCAAGTCATTCTCCTTTCCCCATCACCCAACACTTTCTAGCGACACGGCCCTCCTTTTCAGCTCCTTGAATGAAACAGCAAACATTTACATAATGCTTACTACGTATCAGGCACTGTTCTGAGTGCTTTGTGTATAGGAATTCATTTCAACCTCATAGTAACCTATGAGGCAAGGACTCACATACAATGTCCATTTTACGGATTAAGAAACGGGTACACAGAGCAGGAGCTTGAAGCCTGCTTCGGATTCTGTGTCTCCCTCTCCCTATGCCCTGCTTGCTCTCTGTCTCTCTTTCAAAAATAAATAAACATTAAAAAAAATTTAAAAAAAAGAAACTGGTGCTGTGGAGGTTAAATAACTTAGCCAAGGTCATACAGCTCTTTCAGTGCCTGAGCTGGTATTCAAAGTCAGGCCATCTAGTTCCAGAATCAATTCACATAATTATTACACTATCCTCCCTACCACATGAGCCAAGCAAGCTCTTTCTTAACTCAGAGCCCGACATATTTTGTACTCTGATCCTTAAGAGTAGCCAATGAATCTGTCTTATTCACCGGTATATCCTCGGCACCAAGTACAGCACCTCACACAAAGTAGACACTGAGTAAGTATTTCCTAAATGAACAGCTAGTGTTTAAAAATCATTTAGGGGTGACCAGGGGGCTCAGTCAGTTTAACGTCCAATTTTGGCTCAGGTCATAATCTCATGGCTCATGGGTTCAAGCCCCACATCGGGCTCTGTGCTGACAGCTTGGAGCCTGCTTCGGATTCTCTGTCTCCCTCTCTCTCTGCCCCTCCCCTGCTCACACACTCTCTCAAAAATAAACATTAAAAAAAAACTTTCTAAAATTATTGCTTTAATAGATGATACTTAAATAAAAGATTCCATAACAAGCACATAATATGTACTCCACCAGTGACAGCTCCCTTCACTCTTCACTAGATTTCATGCCCTCATGCTAGTTTTCCAATCTTTAATTTTGACCATTTCTATTTTTTAGCCACTTCACTGTATCTCACTAAGTCTCCTTTATATCTCCCCATCCACTAAACTCTTATCTTCTCCTTTGCTCTCATTTTCATGCAAATTGGTTGGTAAAGAGTATAGTGACTTTTAGAAATGTAAACAAATTGAAATATCTTTTTACCAGTTATAGGACAGTCTAAAGTGAAGAGGGTTCGCTTATACCACATTAACTCCTAAAAATTAACATGGACCTACCTTCAAGACCAAGGTCTTTAAGGACACGATAACCACCTGGCTGCAGAAATTCTCCAACTATCCTGTCAGGCTCTTTTAAATCTCTCTCGATTACTGTCACCTTTCTTCCATCTCTGGAAAGCATGGCTGCCAAAGCAGAGCCAACCACACCGGATCCCACAATGATAACTTCTGGATCATTCTGAGAAGATATTGATGAAGAGGCAGCTGCTCCTATTAAGGTAGTTTCTGAAATACTGGTTCCTTTTTTGGGCTGTGTTAAAAAAAAAAAAAAAGTTAATTACGTATCTACATTTGCTATCCGTAAATCATGCTGCTACTACATAGGCACTCAGGCCTTTTCTATCTTGGGCAAAACCTTCATCTCAAATATTATCAACCAAATGCAGTGCTATGTTTTTAAATCCAGATCATATATAAAAACCAGTGATACTGGGGTGCCTGGGTGGCTCAGTCAGTTGGGCATCAGACTTCGGCTCAGGTCACGATCTCACGGTTCGTGAGTTCGAGCCCCGTGTCAGGCTCTGTGCTGACAGCTCAGAGCCTGGAGCCTGCTTTGGATTCTGTGTCTCCCTCTCTCTCTGCCCCTCCCCTGCTCACGCTCTGTCTCTCTCTCAAAAATAAATAAACACTAAAACAAAACCCGGGGCGCCTGGGTGGCTCAGTCAGTTAAGCATCCTACTTCGGCTCAGGTCACGATCTCGCGGTCTGTGAGTTCGAGCCCCGCGTCGGGCTCTGGGCTGATGGCTCGGAGCCTGGAGCCTGTTTCAGATTCTGTGTCTCCCTTTCTTTGACCCTCCCCCGTTCATGCTCTGTCTCTCTCTGTCTCAAAAATAAATAAACATTAGGGGCGCCTGGGTGGCGCAGTCGGTTAAGCGTCCGACTTCAGCCAGGTCACGATCTCGCGGTCCGTGAGTTCAAGCCCCGCGTCAGGCTCTGGGCTGATGGCTCGGAGCCTGGAGCCTGTTTCCAATTCTGTGTCTCCCTCTCTCTCTGCCCCTTCCCCGTTCATGCTCTGTCTCTCTCTGTCCCAAAAATAAATAATAAATGTTGAAAAAAAAATTAAAAAAAAATAAAATAAACATTAAAAAAATTTTTTTTAAAAACCCAATGATATCAAAGTATTAAATAAAAATGTATAATAATACCCCAATAAAGTGAAATACATACTACATTTTCCATATATATTTAGAAAATGCTGTTATACAGATATATTTAGAAATCCAGACCAGGCCAAATATACACAATGTTTGCAAGGGGCTCCAAAGACTTATTATAGGGAAAAGTCTATCATTAATTACTCAGTTCTTCAAGTACATACTAAGCATCTACCAAACGCAAATCACATAAGACTTCTACTTTGACTTCATGTTGCAAACTATACAGCTATTCATTTTTATTTCCACTATTCATTTTTATTTTGTCCTTTTGGATTTTCATCTGAAAAATCTATCTTAACCTAAAATTACTTTTATATAACAAAAAGACTATCACATCCTAGCTATTAATCTATTAATTGAGAATTATTTAACTCAAGAAAATTCTGAAAGTTCAAAATAACCCATCCTATCCCGTGGGGTGCAACCCCTTCACACTTAAGCCATTAACATATAAGGACATATTTCATTTGCCCCATCTTGACAGTCTAAGAGAGCCCAGTCAAACAGGTGGTCCATTTAGGAATAAATATCAAACCTATCACTAATTGGGCTGACAATAAAAACTTTATTCATAGGATGAAAAAGTCCAGTTTTGAGATTTATGCCCCCTGAGAATAACAGTGCCTCTTGGGTTTTCTAAAATGAATAATTCAGGGTCGAAATAAGTATTTTTTCCCGGTATGTGGGTTGACAAATATAAATGTGTTTCAGATACAGAATTGCAAGGAACCATCTTTCTTGATTTCTCTGACCTTAATGATTAAGATAAGCCCAAATGCCATTTTGAAGGGATTTTAATAATCCCTAAAACCTAAAACCTTAGAATTTTGATTCTCTGTGATTTAAAAAAAATTTTTTTTTCAACGTTTATTTATTTTTGGGACAGAGAGAGACAGAGCATGAACGGGGGAGGGGCAGAGAGAGAGGGAGACACAGAATCGGAAACAGGCTCCAGGCTCTGAGCCATCAGCCCAGAGCCCGACGCGGGGCTCAAACTCACGGACCGCGAGATCGTGACCTGGCTGAAGTCGGACGCTTAACCGACTGCGCCACCCAGGCGCCCCACCTCTGTGATTTTAATATTCATCCAGTCTTCCTTTAACTCTGCATGGACTGGGGCGGGTCCATTCCACTTTTTATCGTCTCTCTTACAGAAATTACCTTTTTGCCCTTTACCAGGAGGAAAAGACAACAGCCTTCTCTTCCCAGTATTTCTCAGTGAGCAGAATGACTATTTTTCTTAAATTATAGTTCTGAGAGCAAGATAAGCCCTTTTTGTCATCTTAGCCATTTCTTATCAGTTTTTCTTCCTAACTTTTCCCTGTTAAACCATAGACACACACACAGACACACACACACACACACACACAATCCTGGAAGGGGAACCTGGGTTGGTTGAGCCATTCAAAGAAGGGTCAACAGACGAAGCACTAATGGGAACTTTGTACTCCCTGCACCAACTCCCTGGTGTTTAAGAAGCAGCAGAAAGCCTGAGGCATTCACATATAGACCCAGTTATTGATGGCTGGTAATCAAATTTTCTCTTCGCCAAAATGTCTCAACACCACATGACGTAATGGCATTCCAGCCACCTACACGAGCAGTCCGTGACCCTGGCAGAAGTTACCTCAGACACCACTGAAGATTTCAAACTGAGCTTAAAGACTGCCTCTCCCTCCTCTCCCATTGCTGGCACCCACACCCACCACGTCACTGCACACAGCACTAGTCAAAAGGTTCCTAACAGATGAGCGCTTTTACAGCAATCTTAATAGCTACCATTTATTCATTATGAGCCGCAGTCAATCATTTAACTCCCTAACTGGCAGCAAGACCAGCGCCACCCCCATCTAATAGAAGAGGTAACTCGTTCTTACAGAAACGAAGCAATTTGCCAAAGGTCCCAGAGACAGAAGTGGTGGAACCAAAATTCTAAACGAAGTCCTCCCTTCTGTAAGCCCTGTACTGTGGATCCAGTAAAATAATGTCAATCCGGAGCCTCAAAGAGTAAACCACTTTTTGAGGCCACTTGCCCTAACTCCAAGTCACCATCATGCCTCACTTGGCTTACGACTGCCATCTTTCACCTGAGAGCCTGCTTCCGTTCTCGTGCCCTGCAAGCCACTCTCCACACACCAACTGGAACGTTCTTTCTAAAAAGTAAAAATCAGTATTGTTACGCCCGTGCTTAAAACCCTCCAGCGAGGGGCACCTGGGTGACTCAGTTAAGCATCCGACTTCAGCTCAGGTCATGATCTCACAGTTTCGTGAGTTCGAGCCCCGCATCGGGCCCTGTGCTGACAGCTGGGAGCCTGGAGCCTGCTTTGGATTCTGTGTGTGTCTCTCTCCCCCTCTTTCTCAGTCTCTCTCTGCCCCTCCCCTGCTTGTGCTCTCTCTCAAAAATAAATAAGTGTTAAAAAAAAAAAAATTAAAAAGTCCCCCAGTACTCTTGGGAAAAAATCCAAACACCCATGGCCAACAGGCTCTAAACGCTCCGGCGTCAATGACCACTGCCCCCTCACCTACCACTGTCTTTGCGGGAGGCATAACCTCAAACATGACTGACGACTAGCTTCTGAATTAGGAACATGGCTGAACTGAGGACCTTACTCAATTACTCACATGACTTAGGACACCACTCCACTGATTTACTCAAGGCTCCACCGACATGGGGAGAGGAAGGTGTTTGCCCAAGACTTCGAAATGCTGAACTAATTTTTATTCCACTAACTTTTCAAATTGTTCTGTTACTTTCCCCACCCAGCTGTCATTTAGAAGCAGTGGACTTAACCTGCAGCAGGTTTCTTTCTTCTCAGGTACAAACACAATCCTTACCTAAGGTTTTAAATAAAATATCTTTTTTTTCCCCCAATCACAGAAAGTGATTCTGTCCTCCTTCAAAATGAGATTCTAATATTTCACATCCCCTTTCACAAGCACCTCTATATTCATTATCAAATCAGTGTCGTTACAGCATCAGCTCTACCGACACTAAATGAAACAAATCTTTTCCATCACCCCTGAGTGTCAAGGATGTAGCCGAAGAACAGTCAAGGGCTTAAAAACAAAACCAAAAAAACAAAACAAAACAAAACAAAACAAAAACCCACGAAAATTAAATGAGAATTCATACCAGAATATCTAAACTGCTTCCTCTGTCCTTTAGAAAAGATGAAATTTACATCTGAGCGACCCCCAATCCTAATTTGTTAAAAAAGAGACTCCTTCATTTGCCCACTTAAAATTCAACCTACCCTCCTAGACCCAAGCTGTTCTTTATTTTCTGATCCCGGGGGCGACTTGGCCCAGAAGAAGCCAATGAAAGGCAGGGCCGACAGAATATCCGAGAAGACCGCGAACTGGGAGCCGCTCTGCTGGCGCCCGAGCAGGGCCCCGCTCCGGTAGCGACAGCGGTAGGACAGCACCAGGCCCAGGGACAGGAACACCAGCACGCAGAGCAAGAGCTCCTTGTTGGCAAAAGAGACGAAGTCTCCGCATTTCTTGTAAAAATACGTGAAAGTGGCAATGCCCAAGAAAGTCCACATGGTTCAAAGGCTCCTTCGGTGACCCCGGGTCAGCGTTGAGATCCTCTTTTTCCTTGCGGGGTTTTGGTGATGTGAGGTTCTCCCCAAAACGTGTCACCAGACGGAGCGCGAGGAAGCGGCCGAGCTCCCGCCAACACCGTCACAGGATTACAATTCAAGCCAGACGAGTTTACAAAATCCTACCACGGTGGAATAAGACAGTTCGCGAAGAGGGGAAAGTTGGCCAGACTTAGAAAGCAGTATTAAAACATCGCCCGCTGCAACCGCTTCCGAGCAGACTCTAATCTTTCCGGCAACCCATTCATTTCCTTCCCCAGGATGAGCTTCTCCTGGGTTGCTGCAGGTGATGTCCGTCAAAGGTGACGCGGGCCCGCTCACCTGCAGCAGGTGCCCTTCCAGGAGGCGTGGGAAGACGAAAGAAACGTCCCGGCGCGGCGGCAGGGGTGGCCTGGCCAGGGGCGGGAGCGCCCACGCTCGGGCGGCGCCGGGGCTGCCTCTTCCCACGGAGGACGGCCTTGGACTCGAGACTGCGGCCCCAGCCCAGGCAAGCGCGGCCGCTCTGCAGACGCTCCGGGTCACCTGCCCCACGAACCCTCCAGGCCGTGACTCCGTTTCCCCGCGGGTGAGCGGCGGTCTCCAAGGAGCTTCCTCAGACGGCGGCGGCTCCCGACGGCCTCCTCGTCAGCATCCCTCGCCGGCGGCCGCTGCCCTCCCCAACTCGGCGCTTCGGCAGTAACCAGAGTAACCGCCGCCCGCCCTTCGCTCGCCGCCGGCCCGGCGTGCCCGGGGCGGCCGAGGGGCTCCGCCCAGGCGAGGACCAGGAGGCGGGGCGCAAGACCAGAGCCCGCCCCGCCCTGCGCGCCCAATGCGCCCGCCCCGCCCTCAGCCGCCGTTGGCCAATGAGGGGGCGCACCGCGCGGTAGGCCGAGATGGCGCTATGCGGCGTTTGGCCAATCGCGGGCGGCGCGGCCGGCGCGGCGTCGCCGGGTGAGGCGCTAGGGCGATGTTGCGTGGTGTGAGGCGGGGGCGTGAGCTGGGGGCCTGCCGCCCGGTGGGCGGAGGGTGAGGCACCCGCTGGCTCCACAGGGGCGGAGGGGCGGAGGGGCGGAGGCGGTCGAGCCCTGGGTGCCGCGGTCAGCTTGCCCGCCGCCCCGCCCCGGCAGCTGGGGTCCTACGGGAGAAGAGGTGGAGTTTGTTCCGGGGAAGCCGCTGCCTGGAGTTCCGCCATTCGTCCCCCCATCGTGTATTGAGCGCTTACTATGTGTCAGGCCCGGGGGTCCTTTCTCTCCCACGCCTAGTGTGTGTAGAGGGCGGTGGAAACCGGTGCGTGGAGAACGTGATGTTCAAGCCGAACTTCTGGAAGAACGAGTTAGGCAGATGTTTGCCCGAAGAAGGAAGAAGAGGATGTGCCAGGTGTTTCTTCCTTCACCCCAAATTGTCAGGCACTGCGTAGTAGTCACTGTGCTCAGCCTAAAGATGCTCTGGTGTTCGTAGCCCCTGTTCTCTGGAGATCAGAAACGCGGGGGGGGGGGGGGGGGGGGGGGGG